CAAATTAATGTAGAAACAACATAAATACAGTATGTTTTTGATATTTGTTTAATGACATATTTTTTATGACTGAAGGCGAGTATCACTGATACCAGTACTAATTGTTTGTTTGTATTTTTAATATTTAACCATTTACTATACCCATTCAACATTACAGTATAATTGAGAGCCAAACAACAATTAACAAATTAACAAATTAAAAGTAAAGTATACTTATACTGTATAATTGTAGTTATTATTTCTGAAGCAATGTAAAGCATTTTTGTGAAAAAATAAATCTTTTTTTCTAAATGGTTATAATTTATGCAAAACAAATCTGAAATCAATCGCAATTAATTGCACCTAACATTAAAGGGATAGTTCACCCAAAAATGAAAATTCTGTCATTAATTAATTGAGAGCTATCCATTTTAATATTCATTATTAGATAAAAAAAAATAAATAACAACTCTTAATTTAAGTTAACTTAAAACAATCTTCACGTAAACCCATTATAATAAATGTCATATTTACCTTTGCCCCTCAGCAATTAGGAAATATACAGAAACAAAACTGACGACATAACTATGATATTGCATGCTCGTAGTTTCTCTTGCACTTATGAAATAAGTATATGAAGTAGAAGAATATGGAGTTATATACAGTGCGCCGCCGCATTTGTGTGTCCAATTGAAGAGCATGTGCTACAAACACAGTATGACGGCTGACAGGACAGGAAAATTTGTTTTTACTGACATATGGCCTGACAACATTTCATCTGATCTGACATGAGTTCACCGTTGTTCTACTGAAGCTCCCTTGTTACCTGTACCTTTTCTGGGCTGTTCAATATCAATAATATTATATAAAAATATATTATAAATTGATTTATTATTACTATTATTATTAATATTCCTATTCCAATAATATGCCATTTAAATGTGTGTGTGTGTGTGTGTGTGTGTGTGTGTGTGTGTAGTGGCTTCCAAAAACTATTTGGACACTTAAGTCACACTAAACAATTTATGAATGTAATTGCATTAGCAATTACTAACATATTTTACTATCACTTCTAACCAGCTGATTCCATGGTCATTTTAGTGGAAGTAATAGTCAGTTCCCCTCAATTTCACACAGGTGCCTCTAGTGATTCTGTGTCCCATTCAACTCAGAAAATCAGAATGTGCAACTTCCTGCCTGGAAAAGTGCAACAGAGCACCACTCAAATTCAGACTTCCAACTTGGAAATGTGTACAGTTATCTAATGCATAGAAATGTATATAATTTTAAGCATGCCCAGTTACTTTTTTGGGCCATATACATTTATGAAATGTGTGTTTTTGGCCATGTGTATATGTATCTGTGCCTGTGTGTGTGTGTGTGTGTGTGTGTGTGTGTGTGTGTGAGAGAAGAAGAGTTGTGAACCTCAGAGGGAGCCTGTGCTATCACACCTCTCCTACTCGCAGTCTGTCAATATATCAGTCTCAAACTCCGTGAACTCATCTCACACACAGAAACTACTCTGCGCATGTGTGTGAGTGTGTGTCAGAGAGAACGATAATACACACAGAGCATGAAGGAATTTAAAAGCGGACTGATTCTTGTAGTTTTTTCTGGGTTGTAGCTTCGCTCCCGCTGTGTGTAACCAGTCTCCCCACCGAGCTGGCCCGAGTGTTTTTATTTCTCTCCTCTTCTGCATCACGCCATCCTTCCGTCACACTCATCCCTTGCTTCAGAGCCAAGCCACATTTCCACTCTATCTCTCTCTTTTCATCTCCCTCTGTATTCCTCTCTCTCAGGGACAAATTCACTAAACAGTCGTGCCATTTTTGCATCCGGTATTTCAAGGCAAAAACCAGCTTCTAACGAATCACAATCAGGTCTAACCATTTTGATTCTTTTTTTGCACAAACACCTCCTTTCTATCTGAATTCAGAACCGATTTGGTGAACGCTAGTGAATTGGGCGCTAAAACAACACAGACAGTGTTCGCAAATAAATGGTGCTGTCAGTGGACACAGTTCAATCTTAGTGAATTCTCCTCTCTGTCTCGCTCTTTCTCTTTTTACTTTTAGACATAGAGACGATAGCATCTTCATTTTGAGGGTGTTTGTCATGGTTGTGGGTTCGAGTCGTGGTGACACTACATTGCTCATTGCTTAGATTAGCTGTGTAATTGTTCTACCAGACAGCAAGCAATTTGTATGGTGACTCATCCTCTCTCTCTCTTTCTCTCTTTCTCTCTTTTCTCTCGTCCTCTCAATCTCCACGCGTCCTCAAGCTGCGTTTAAAGCATGTTATGATAGTTACAGTCTTGACAGGCTCATTAAAGCCTCATATTCTCAAAAAAATCTTTTAAAGGTATAGTTCACCCTAAAATTGCAAATTATTTTTCATCATTTGCTCACCCCCATGTTGTTTCAAACCCGTCTTCTGTGGTACACAAAAGGATTATTCTGAAGGCTTTGCTGGCTGCATTTTCCGTGCAATTACAATGAATGAGGACTGAAGGTCGCAAGAAAAAAAGTAAAGTAAAGGTGTGCTGTATTACAACTATCCGAAGTCATTGATGGCTCTGAAAAAGAACCAGGCCAAAATTATTGTTATTATTCACTTCTTGTTTATCACGTGGACCTAGGGTATTTTTGTAATAGCTAATTTGACCACTGCCATGTGCTGTATGGTAATTGTTGTGCCTCACAATAATGTGCATGTATTTTAAAATTAAATTTTTTTATTTATTTTATTTCCTCTTTAATTTCTTTCTTTTATTTCCAAAGTTTTATTTCTGAGGAGCCTTGCAAATTTATTTTTACAGTCATCCCCATGAGAAACAATTACAGTTTGAATAGGGTTGTAGTTTCAAGAATCATATGAGTCCAGTTTGTAAATTAATCAGTTTTGTGAACTGGATCAGCTGATTCATTGAAGATCAAGATCCAACTCAACTTAAATTTCTGTCTTATACAAAACAGTTTCTTAAAACTATCATATGACTTTAGAAATATAGAACGAGTTTGTGCCTGGTGTCCTTTTTGAAGCTTCAGTCTGAAAAAACTTTTTTTTCTTTTTTTTTCTCCACTGAACAAAAAAATGAGAGTGGGTAAATAATGACCAAATTTTCATTTTTGGTTAAACTACCATATGTGACCCTGGACCACAAAAGCAGTCTTAAGTCGCAAGAGTATATTTGTAGCAATAGCCAACAATACATTGTATGGGTCAAAATTATAGATTTCTTTTTTGTCAAAAATCATTAGTATATTAAGTAAAGATCATGTTCCATGAAGACATTTTGTAAATGTCCTACTGTAAATATATCAAAACTTAATTTTTGATTAGTAATATGCATTGCTAAGGACTTAATTAAAATTTTAACTTTAAAGGCGACTTTCTTAATATTTAGATTTTTTTTGCACCCTCAGATTCCCCATTTTCAAATAGTTGTATCTCGTCCAAATATTGTCCTATCCTAACAAACCATACATCAATGGAAAATGTATTTATTCAGCTTTTAGATGATGTATAAATCTCAATTTCAAATTGACCCTTATGACGGGTTTTGTGGTCCAGGGTCACATATTTGACAGAAAACAGGTTGCACATGGGTCAAAATGTTTGCATTTTTGAGAGGAAAAAAAAAACACAGATAAGTTGCATCAGTGTATAAGTCCCATTTTATTGTTACATTCAATAATGTAAAAGTTGCAAACATTATAAACACTATAAACATTGTAATTCCCCTCACTCCACAACAAATCCTTTAAATGTATTGGTTTTCAGAACAGAACAGGAATGAAAAATATAAGTATAAAAAAACATAAATTTATTATAAACGTCAAGCCCAAAACAAATTTATTTAAAATAAAACTGAAACTACCGGGCTGATATATGGTACTGTAAATGCACCATTAAAAATGCTCAGGTACCTCTTTCATTCGGTACAAATGTGTGCATTTTGCGCAACTTTTGTGTGCTTGATGTTAATTGCTTTAATATAAGTCACTTTAGAATATAAATCACAGTGCTTTTCAGGTGATAAAAAAACGATTTATATTCCATAAAATAGGGTATTCCTTTAAAACAAGTTGTTAATATCCAAAAACAAGCACTAGCACATGACCAATATTATTTATTGTTGAATTTTCATCATACCGCTACATTGTGATATATACCGTTACCGTGATATTGGTTTTCTTACACAGTGATTTACGATTTTAGTCATACCGTCCATTTCCAGTGAACTAATGTGTCCATTTCCCTTACAACTTTAACAGGGAAATGAGCAGCATGGGTCAGCAGCGAGATGTGTATATTCCGAAAGCGTAATTCATTAATTTGCTGTTTGCTATCCGTCAGTCACCCGGAATAATCCATTGGGAGGGGCCAGTGCGCTTTCCTCCGCCGAGTGAAAATTGGATTTTGGATGAGCGATCGCGCGGCTTAAACTTCCACCAGCTCGCTGTCTATTAAGTGCACCCCCCACGTCACGCGCACACACACACACTCGCAACCCAGAACCAATCTAGAGCCACGACAAACACACACAAATATACATCCTCGAGTTTTAAGAGTTACAAGCCAAATTCAAACGCACACGTATGCAGCCACTGTGACACGGTGCGTGTAGTATTACCTACAGCAATCCTGTGCTTGAGAAAAGCCGACTGAACAAACACAGTCAGCATAATCACCAGAGAGAAAGACACGTACACACCTCTGACTTGAAGGAAATGAGCTGGAATTTGGAGCATCGTGCCCACATGGGGAGCGGAAGATCTGGAGAGAGAGGGATGTGGGGAGGATTGATGGATAGGGAAAAAAAAGTCAAGAAGAACAGAAACGAGAGCACTGGGGAGACCAAGACAATTCTCGCTGAGATGTTGATGGCGAGATGCTGGAGTTTACTCATCCAATCACGAACGTGTGGGCAGAGAGAGGGAGAGAGTGTGTGCTTCATCAGAGGTGCTTGATGTCACTTAGTAAAAATAACGCTGTGTGTGTGTGTGTGTGTGTTTCAGCTCCTCTGACTGAAGAGCCCCCCAGGATTCTCTTTCCCTCTGAAAACAAGCTCCTCACCATGGACGTGCAGCTCGGTAAGAACAGCTTCTGCTTGTGTACATGTGTGCTGGGAGGAGAGGGGGGTTGTTCGTAATGCCATGTACAATTTTTGTAAGAACGTAGTATGTAATATGCTGTGCGCAGTATGCAAATTTTCTGAATGCATGGATTACCCGGATGACCTGCTACATTTGTTGAAATGTGCAATGTAGATCCACAGCACACTGCGTGGAATAGTGTATCCCATGATGCACTGCACTCGACTTGACCATCTATTTGCAGGGTGACAAAAGAGTCAGAGGCGATATCAATCATGGTTTTTCACAATTTGTCTGGTTGACCCATTTTTTGAAGGGTCTGCCAAAATGTTTGCACAAACCTGGATGACAAAATGGAAATAAAAAGAATGCTCACTAAATTAAAGGTTCAAACAGTTGCACTATTGTAGCCAAAGTGTTTCTGAATGAAATCCACTTTCTTGTCATATCACTCGCATCTTAAATAATCAAGTGCCGAGGGCATTATTTGTGTTTTGTTTTTTTTTAGGGGACACTAGTGGCCAATGGTGCTTCTGCCAGGGGCTATACACTACATCAATGTACATTATCATTTTAAAGTTTGGGGTCAGTGATCTTTTATTTTTTATTTTAAATGTTTTTGAAAGTCTCTTATGCTACCCAAAGCAAATATTTCATCGCAATATGTGCAATATGTTTTCTCATTTAATATATTTTAAAAAGTAATTTTCAGCAGCCTGCAGTATTTAAAAATACTGATATTGTCTGTTATTGTCAATGTTGAAAACAGCTTTGCTGCTTGATATTTTTGTAGAAACTATGATAGTTTTTTTTTTTTATTCTTTGATGAAAAGAAAGGTTAAAAGAGCAGTATTTATTTAAAATTGATCATTTTTATTGAGTCACTTTGCTGTCATTTTTATGAATTTAATGCATCGTTGATTTATACGTTTCTTTAAAAAAAAAAAAATCTTACCCTTAATTTTTGAAAGGCACTGTGTATGATGCATAGTTTAATGTACCAGTTCTACAAAAGTCAGTGCTATTTGATGCCATTAAAGTTTGCATCAAATAGCGTTGACAATAATGTTTTGTTTGGCATATTGCTTATGGAAAGCTAGCAGTAAATTGAATACTACTTTAAAGAGATGTTTGTTAAAAATTTTTATTGATCATGGCAGTAATTAATTCATCAAATAATGATGAAATTATGTAGAAGAGCGTTATAACCGGGCATATATCCAGGTGTTTGGTGCAGCAGAATGCACTTTTGGCATTTTAAAGAGCCAATTGCTCTACAGTCCCAGCAAAAAAAAAACCCCAGTCGTGGTATAGCAACAGCAGAAAGCGCATGCAAATAATGGGCACAATTCACTTTTAATCCAGGAATTTTCCTCTTATTACAGTAAAACACTGTGTGCTGTCTTTTTGAAATACTGTAATAGGCATTATGCAGCATACTGCAGAGTAAGCAGTACGGTAGTATTCTATTCCAAACACAGCCGATGTGGTTCAAGCATTTGAATTGTGTTTGTGCAAGGAATTGTCTAAGTAAAAAGAGAGTCATTGTGTTGGATTTACTCTCAAAAACACAAGCAAAAACAGTTTCAAAAATGGGTGAACTGTTTTTGTTATTGAAAAGACGTCAAACTGTTACCAAAAGAGACTCATCAAGAATGTTTAAACTCATGCCATGCAGTTATGCACTAACTCGGCAGCAGCAGCATTTGCGTATGTGTGTGTGTTAACGCCCGAGAAAGGAGTTCCCCTGCTTGACAGATAGCTGCTATAGTCAGCATTATGATCCTATGTTGTTTACGCTCTGAATGGAAGTTGTTCTCATAAATGCAAATCCTCTATGCTAATTATCTGCTGTTGTCTCCCAACAATAGCCGTTCCATATGGTGCCGAAACATTCAGTGGGCCTTCTTTTGGATTTCGCTGTGCGTGTGTGTGTTGATCCGAGCTCCTTGTGCATGTTAACACACGCATACCGTCCGCTTTAATATATGTAACAGACTGAGATGTGCTTGTTCGCGCATGTGCGCTAGTCTGTTAGCGTGTGCATTGAACTGAACCGCGTGTGTGTGTGTGTGTATGTATGTGGTGGATGGAGCCGCGTCTGTTTGTTTGGCGGAGACTCTGGATCCAGGCATGTTGGAAACAGGAGCAGATTGGAGCATATTGTGGCGGCTCTGACCATGCTCTGCCTTCAGAATGAGCAGAGAGAGAGCAGGACACCACTCATCAACTAGAGACACACTTGACCACATGATGAGTAATTTATAGGATTAGACGGCGTGAGCGTTGTGGGCTGCTTAGCTGAATAATAGAACCCAATAGAGTTGAACTTTGTCGTGTTGTGTTCAGTTTCATCTCTCTTTCTCAATTTAGTTGAAAAACTACACTTTTGTATTTCTAAATACTTTGTAGAATCATGAGAACCTAAATAGAATTTTAATTTAAATGAAGTTACTATTGTAGTGAATAAGTGATATCAAATCTTTTCTCAGTAAATGATGCCGTCTTAGACTTATAATGACACCTGGTGGCAAGGATGTAGCATCATTTAAAGATTTTCAGTCAATTGCTATTATTCGACTTATTCTGTGAGTACAAGTGTATGATAATTGCACGATGGCCGAGAGAGCTCAACACGCTGCAACTTCAGAAAACTCATGCAAATAGAAAAAGCACCAGCAAACTAAGAAAACATCTTCATCAGTTTGGCAGCACATGTGCTGCAAATGCTCACAACACAAACAAACAAAGAAACGCGCAAGTAGCACAGACCACATTAAATTTACCCCAGCAAAATGAAAATTAACCATGTTTTTTATTGATTACCATTTTTAAAACCACAGTTGTACAAATACCATGGTTAGTGTAGTAAATCCATGGTTTATTTGTGCATGGTTACCATGGTTTAACTATAGTAACCATTTTTTGTTTTTATTTATTTTTTATATAATGTTTTAGTTATTTATTTTTAATAGTAAAACCATAGGCTATGGTTATTTTTTGTAAGGAAAATTGTAAAAGTAAGTACATTCACAGTTACAGTAATTGTGTATTTTGTCATCTTATTTAGGCTAATAATATAAAAAAAAATGTAAGGAATCGTATATTAGGATGTTAAAGGACACCACTCATCGACTAGAGACACACTTGACCACATGATGAGTAATTTATAGGATTAGACGGCGTGAGTGTTGTGGGCTGCTTAGCTGAATAATAGAACCCAATAGAGTTGAACTTTGTCGTGTTGTGTTCAGTTTCATCTCTCTTTCTCAATTTAGTTGAAAAACTACACTTTTGTATTTCTAAATACTTTGTAGAATCATGAGAACCTAAATAGAATTTTAATTTAAATGAAGTTACTATTGTAGTGAATAAGTGATATCAAATCTTTTCTCAGTAAATGATGCCGTCTTAGACTTATAATGACACCTGGTGGCAAGGATGTAGCATCATTTAAAGATTTTCAGTCAATTGCTATTATTCGACTTATTCTGTGAGTACAAGTGTATGATAATTGCACGATGGCCGAGAGAGCTCAACACGCTGCAACTTCAGAAAACTCATGCAAATAGAAAAAGCACCAGCAAACTAAGAAAACATCTTCATCAGTTTGGCAGCACATGTGCTGCAAATGCTCACAACACAAACAAACAAAGAAACGCGCAAGTAGCACAGACCACATTAAATTTACCCCAGCAAAATGAAAATTAACCATGTTTTTTATTGATTACCATTTTTAAAACCACAGTTGTACAAATACCATGGTTAGTGTAGTAAATCCATGGTTTATTTGTGCATGGTTACCATGGTTTAACTATAGTAACCATTTTTTGTTTTTATTTATTTTTTATATAATGTTTTAGTTATTTATTTTTAATAGTAAAACCATAGGCTATGGTTATTTTTTGTAAGGAAAATTGTAAAAGTAAGTACATTCACAGTTACAGTAATTGTGTATTTTGTCATCTTATTTAGGCTAATAATATTAAAAAAAATGTAAGGAATCGTATATTAGGATGTTAACTGCAGTGGAAATGAGAGAGCGATTCTGAAGGAAAGAAGAGCATTAAGGACCATGCAAGGAGGTTCTGAGAGATGAAGACAGAATTCTGAGCTGGTGGAAGAATATTTAATGCTTTTAGAACGTTTCAGGAGGGAATCGCTCCTTGCTGAGCACTTCCTGCAGAAATCTTATTGGACACGCACAGATACAGACACACACACACACACATGCAAACTTAAACACATACCGTTTTATAAGTATATAGCAGGTAAGAGGATATTGCTGGACTAATACTAGTTATTTCCAGCATTTGTTGATGCTACTGTGTAATACTATGTGATATGTATGATGTATATGGCCATTACTTTGCTATAAACATGCTTATTATGAGGGATGAGCTATCGAAATCATTTGTCATGCTCCCTGCCATAGACGCGGAACAGATGATGATGTGAGAGGATGGGATGATGGGATGATGAGTGAAGGATAGAGAGAGACGGATAGAGTGTGCTGTGTGTGAACCCATCACATCCAAACATTATTAATGACAACAGGGGCACTCACACACACACACAAGCACAACTCAAATATCGCAGACAAACAAAGAAAAGGAAAAAAAACGAGTCAGAAAGAAACTGGGCTGACTCACATTCAACATGGAAAAAGGGAAAAAAGGTGACCTTTTTTCCTGTCTCTATGCAGTTGCCAGCCAAGATGAACAGATAGAAAGGAACAATGCAGGAAAGACTTGACTATTTATCTGTATTATATATATTGAATTGGACTGATGAGAGTTCATCTTAACCTTCATGTTCTGTATGGGCTCTTAGAGCCCTCAAGGGCTCGAAAATATACCAATAAACATTGAAATATCTGGTTGAAACTCCATTGCTTGTTCTAATTTTATGAGATCTGATTATAAACAAAATTTCAGCTTCATAACATGCATCAACCGTCCTTTATGAAAAATTGCTTCATTACTTTTGTTTGGAGT